ATAAAAAAATAGAAATTAATTTTTTTTTGACATATTTTGTTGGGGTAGGAAAATTCAGGAAAGGGGGACAATTTTATAAACCAGATATCCAAAGGTTTCAAAACAGCAATTTTGGAGTAGAAAACCTACTGTACCAACTGGGAACTGGGAGCTTGAGTTCCTTTATGATGAGGATTTACATTCCACGAAACCTTAAAGACTACTTTACAGATAATATTAGGGTCGTATCATGGTAGAAGAATATAGGTAGACGCATCGACACAGCTGGTGGGACAATGAACTGTCAAACTAATTTTGGAATTGAAAATGTTGGATGGAAAATTATTTAAATTTGTACAAAATTTTTGAAAAAAGCGAATTATAATAACCTCCGAATTACGTCGTATAGGAAAACATATAAAAATCTACTTATTTTTAAAAGAACATTTACATTTTTTTGACATATCAATGCTCCCAAGCGTTGTTGCATCTACCTGTATTCTTCTACCATGGGTCGTGTATAAGGTGCCATTTTTCCACTTAATTTTTTATCATTTTTGTAGTATACTTTCAGGCGCTTCCAACAATTTTAAACCAAACAAGTAAAAAAACAGTAAAATCGGCCGGGCCGAAATTTGAGCAGCCTCCATCATTTGAAACGGATTTAGAAATTTTCAAAAAAAAAAAAATAAATAAATAAAATCCGTTAAAAATTCTATTAAAATCTTAAAAATACCGAATATACCCGTTATATTGACGTCTATACCAAGACGTGGACCTGCATAGGGAACTTTTGTCATAAGCCAGTACAATATTCAAATACGAAACATGAAAAAAGTTCGGTGAATAATGAAGCTAAAATCGTCAAAATACCGAATATAGGGAGGTAACATTATATCGGGGCTATATGAAGACCTGGGCCTGCATAGACAATTTTCTGTCCCGGGCTGAAGTACCTACGAGGAACTTCATCTACGAAATTTCAAACAATTTCGGTGGGCCTGCATACGCATTTTTTTATCTTAGGCTGTAGTATTTATTATGAACTTCAAATACCAAATTTGAAACGATTCCGGTCAATAATGTCGCTAAAATCATCAATATACCGAAAATCGAAAGGTACCGTTATATGGGGGCTATACGAAGATGTTGACATGTATAGACAATTTTCTGTCATAGACTGTAGTACCCACTACGAATTCTAAATGCGAAATTTAAAACATTTCCGGTGAATAATGTCCCTAAAATCATCAAAATACCGATTTTAGGGAGGTACCGTTATATGGAGGCTATACAAAGACGTGGGCCTGCATACACAATATTTTGCCATAGGCTGTAGTATCCAATTCGAACTTCAAATACTAAATTTGAAACAATTCCGGTGAATAATGTCGCTAAAATCACCAAAATACCGAAAATATAGAGGTACCATTATATGGGGGCTATACCAAAACGTGGGCCTACATGGCCCATTTTCAATACCAGAAGTCATGGAGACCTAATATACATTTGAGTAAAATTTTAGCAACCTACTTCATTTCGTTCGGAAGCTAGAGTGATTTCCACAATCGGACGGGCGGACAGAGGAACGGATGGACATCCCTAAATCGACATAGAATTTTCGAAAAACTTCGTGTTCTTAAAATATACCCACCTTCCACCCTCCACATCTCGAAATCTTAATCAGAAATCTTGATCAGCATAAAATTCTACGTCGAATTAGGGATGACCATCCGTCCGTCTGTGGAAGGATATAAAAAGTAATTTATATTATATGTTAAATGAGGTTTTCTACATTAAATATTTCATATTTTTGAAGCATACTTTTAGGCGCAACAGCAATTTAAAATTAAAATTCTCTATTAAGCTCTATACACTAATTCACGTTCATATTTATATCATTGATATATAAATATATGATATGCTAAAAAGTACTTTTTTAGTTTAAACGTTTCAGTGGACGCCTAAAAGTATGCTATGAAAATGCTAAACATATAAAATATAAATAATTGCTTTACACATAACTCAAACATTCTGTGTTAACTAGCCATAAGCTAAAGTCTTTTAGGGGCAAGATTCTTTTGTCTGTCTTTCTCTCTTCCGCCTGAAGTCATAGACAAATGATGATATAGACAACGAAAAGTTAGTTTTGTCTTTTTATCCAGGTGGCTCTCAGCATGTTTTGCATAGTCAACATGCTGATTTACGCGTTCAAGCCACTCGTCTCCGAAAACACATTTTATCGTTTTTCAAGAATTTTACTTGATTATTCCGGAATTTTTTGATGTCATCACGTAATTTTCACATTTATTTTATTATGGAACAATTTCCAACCGACAAATATCCTACAGTTGTTCTTATTTTTAACGTTTTAGAATTGAGTGACTTCAATATTCCCACTCAAACCCCTGAAACGATATAGACGACATCTGCTGCTTCGATTTTTTTCGAAGATAAACGGTGAGAGCATTTCGTTGTCTATATTTTCATTTGTCTATGCTGAAGTACCCGATTTGGTGAAAACTTTTCATTCTACACAATTTTTACAAAAGATTGATTTAGTTGGAAGATCGAATTCCCCAAAGAACTTCAAACATGTATTTATTTTTATTATTATTAATATTTTTTTATTTATTTATTTATTTATTTTTTTTTTTTTTGAATTAACAAAACAAGCACAGATGAATTTCGAAGATAAATTTTAATTGGAATTAATTATTGAGAGTCTTCTATATATAGCAAAGAAGCTCGTAAATCGATGACCACATACAGAGATTCCATTCAAAAAATATGAATTTTAATACATTTTCCATAGATAAAGGTCGATCCCATAAAGATATCGAATATATAGAAGACCTATATGGCTCACATTATCCCATTCAACCATGTTCTTAATGCCGATAAAACTTCGACCTTTCGACTTTCAGAAACATTTTCTTCAACATTCCTCGGATATTTCACATTTTACCACAAAAAACAGCCATTGATGTTGCAGCGCCATCTAGTTGTGATAAATATTGTTAAGTTGCATTGGATTTGTGTCTTTGCTATTTCAATGTCTATTTCCTTCTATTGTGAATCATAACATATTGTGAATGATGAATGGGCAATGAATTTGATGAGTTCTTAGTTTAACACTTTCCAACACTGTTCTCGCTAATAACCCTTAACAATACAATGACTTGAAATGACTGATGCGTAGATTGAAATAATAAAATTTTTGTTGTTGAAAAAAAAAAAAAAAAAAATCTCAAAATATTCTGTTGTAATTTCCTTAACAAAAAACATTTGTGAGGACAATTGTCCTGTGCTTCTTCTTTAAAATGTTTTCTTATAACTCCATGGACTTGTTTTTGTAGGAAAATTTCCGACAGTATTTTTATCCAAAGGGAAATTTATGTAATTTATATTCCAAAAACCAAAAAACTACAGATGAACAGCATCTCTACTTCTATATGTGATGTAAATATCCGATATTTCTGTAAAATTTTCAAAAATATCTAATACTTTAGACGAAATTTTGGAATTTTCCTTTATTTGTATATAATCAATATCGAAAATGAAAAAGCCAATATTGGACTAAAAAATTATTTTTCCATATAAAGTTATACGAAAAAATTCGTCGAAAGTGTCACTAGGGGAATAAATTATATAAATTATTATATTTTTCGATTGAATATTCCGGCCAAAAATGTTGGTATAGAAACAAAGAAATAATTTCCCCAACAATTTTTTTTACAAAAAGACAAAATTTAGTCGTAAATTACTCTCTAGAACACAAAACAGTTTTGAAAAAAAAAAACTTTAGAAGTAAAGAGAAAATTTCGTAAAAAAATATTCTAAAAAAGATGTCATTAGAGAAAATTTAGTAGAAGCAGCGTTTTCCATGAAAATTATTTCGAAAAAAAAATTACTATTTTGCCACAACATCAATGATATAGATAGTTTTTTTGTATTATATTTTTGTTAAAATATTTATTTATTAAATTATTTATATTCTTACATTATACATTTTTTAACAATACATATTTGTAATAATACATACTATACTTATTTTTATATGTTCTTATTTTAAATGTTAGAAATACAAAATAATGCAATGTTTTTTTTTAACAAGAGTGTTGGTGGAATATTTTTTATAAAATCCATTTTTTGTTTCAGAAGAATAACTTGTAAATATACAGACATAGACTTATAAGAAATATTATATTTTATTTTTTATAAAAATCTATTTTAATTATCCTAGGAAAAATAAATAAGATCTTTTGTATTTTTTTATAATTTGTGCATGCTTAAAAACGTTAATTTTTATTTATTTTTTTTACATAAAATAAAAATTTTTTATAATTAAAAAAAAAAATATAATAACTAATTAGAAAAAATAATTAAAATTATATTGCCATGTAATGATTTTTTTTATTTATAAATGTTATTTATTTTATTTTATTCGTTTGTTTTTATTTTTTTCTTATTTTCATATTCTATGCATGAAGCAAGTTGTTTTTTTTAATATTTTGAGATTGGTCGTTCGTAATGTAAAATTAGAAAATATCGATTTTCTTTTGAAATAAATGACATCAGGCTCAGTACCCAGTTCAGTAGTGGAATTCTGTAAATAATTTTTTGAGTTACCGAAAAAAATCGCTAAAATTCAAATGCTTATAATTTCGGTAATTAACGAACATTTTCGATAAGCTAGCGGTGAAATCATGGTAGCTGCACAGCTGCTGGGACAATGAAGTGTCAAACCAATTTTGGAATTAAAAATCTTGAAAGAAAATTTTACATTTTTTTTTTTGTAAAAAATGTTGAAAAACGCAAATTATAATAACCTCCGAATGACGTCGTACAAAAAAACGCAAAAAAATCTACTTATATTTGAAAAAAAAAAAAAAAACATTTAAAATTTTTTGACATATCAATGTTCCCAAGCATTGATGCGTCTACTGGTATTTTTTTTTACCCTGGGCGAAATGAAAATCGTCGCTAAGACCTACCGATAGATACCAATGTTGTCAACATTTATTTGTTTTTTTTTAGGTAACTCAATAAATGAGTTAGAGAATCCCACTACAGATGAGAAAATAATCAGGGCATGAATTCTTATTCTACGAAAAACTGAAATGAAAAATATTTTTTATATTTATTTTTATTTCACATTTTCACAGAACAAGATTTGAGATTCAGGTATCTTTACAAATGAAAAATATACACTTGAAGTGAGACTCTCCAGCCCTTATAGTGAATCTTCAAAAATGTATTTTCCAATCAAAAATCATGGGAAATTTTTAAGGAATATTGATTTAACTTCTGTAATAAATTTCGAAATTAAATTTGATCTTGAAACACATTTTACTCCCGATGCATCTAAGTTAAATGTCCTTATTTTTTTAATTTTTTTATTTTCTTAAATACTTTTGCCATTTTCTTGGGACGGATTTTCCAGCAATAAGTCGTGATGTTTATTTAAAAAAAAAAATTAAAATAAAATAATTTAAAATTTATAATTAATTTTGTGCTCTGAATATGACATGACATTTCTTCATTTCATTTTTTTCCATTTTTATTTTGCAATAATAAATTTCTAATTACCATAATTTTGAATATTTTCTTGTTGTGATAAATTTCGATCTTGGAAGACAATGCATACGTATATAAATTTTAATATATTTAAATATATATTTATAATTTTTATTTTAGATAAATAACAATATTTATATTTAAGTAAATATTTTCTTTTTATTATTTCAAAAAAAAAAAATTATATAAAAAAGTAAACTATTTAAGGGTCCCGGGCATAACACCCACGTTTTTTTTATTTCAATATTTCTATTTACTTAAATTTAGCTAACAAAAAAATGTTTAAACTTAGTATTTTTGTTGTTATCATACTTCTCTGTACACAGTCTTTAAAAAAAAATTAGAAACAAAAAAAGATAAAATTAAATAAATCCGCAATTTCTTATTATTTATTATAAATAAGCCTCCTCCCCCAGTGGCGACTAAACCTCCGTACTGTGGGTCTGTATACGCACTTTCTTTACACTGCCATTGCGACGCATTGGCGGCGAATTACCTGAACCCGAATAGCCTGGATTCTGTATACCCAATGTGGGATCGGGTCGTGGCCGCGGCTTTTTGAGACTTGAACGCAGGGGAGATCTGGTCACCGACTCCACTGTGGAGCCATTCGACACACTGGTGACCATGGTGCTCATTGAGGCCACACTGCCGGAACCATTACGTATGCCAGCATACGGTTTGCCCGAGGCATCGGTAACGGAAATTCCTGGAAGGGTAACAAATTTTGAATTAACTTTTTAATAAAATTTCGTTTTGTTGTGATCCTACCGTTCTTAGTTTTGGGCTCCTTAAAGCCTGGATTATTTATCGTTGTCGCCGATGAGGGTGAGGCGGCATCAATCATCATTGTTGGATCACCACCGGGACGTTTAGAATATAAGACATCGTATAGGGCCAATACAAACAGGCCTATGCTTAAGACAATAACAACAATCTGGAAGAACGGGGAAAAACTTGATTATTTTCAGTTCAAGGGAAGAAAATTCGGATAACATTTCTATAACATATCGTTATCCGGATGAAATTTTCTATACGGAACCGCCATTCGGATAATATTTTCTACAGGAAACCGTTATCCGGATAATATTTCCCATACGAAACCATTATCCGGTTAACATTTCCATCCAAAACAGTTATCCGGATAACATTTTCTATGCAAACCCGTTATTCGGATAACATTTTCTATAGGAAACCGTTATCCGGATAAGATTTTCTATACGAAGCCGTTATCCGGATAACATTTTCTATACGTACACATTATCCGAATAATATTTTCTATAACTAAACATTATCCGGATAAAATTTTCTATACGAAAAAATTATCCGGATAATTTTTTCTTTGCGAAACCGTTATCCGGATAATATTTTCTATTGGAAACTATTATCCGGATAAAATTTTCTATGCGAAACCGTTATCCGGATAACATTTTCTATTCGAAAACATTATCCGGATAACATTTTCTACACAAAACCGTTATCCGGATAACATTTTCTATACGAAAACGTTATCCGGATAACATTTTCTATATGAAACCGTTATCCGGATAATATTTTCTATACGAAACCGTTATACGGGTAACATTTTCTATAGGAAAACATTATCCGGATAACGTTTTCTATACGAAACCGTTATTCGGATAACATTTTCAACCTGAAACCGTTATCCGGATAATATTTTCTATACGAAAACATCATCCGGATAACATTTTCTATCTGAAACCGTTATCCAGATAACAGTTTCTATTCGAAACCATTATCCGGATAACATTTTCTATTCGAACCCATTATCCGAATAACGTTTTCTTTTTTGAAGAGTGTCCCCAAGGAAGGTCTCTTTTTTCAATATCTACCACTCACCTGTAAATAAAATGATATCCCTCTGGAAACACGGAAACCATACTTCTCCGACTCATCGATTTGTACAGCAAACATAACAGTGGCTACCAATGCCAGTATACCTATCAAAAAAAAAAAAAAACAAAATCAAAATAAATATTGAAAGCAAATCTCCAAATCCACTTACCAGCCGTTAAAGCCAATATTAACTTTGTCATTACCAGCGAGGTATATGACATAACAACCTTTTCACGCGACGATATCATGGCAATCTGTATAACAGACAACACACAGAAGAGGCCCAAAGCGCTGGAACTCAATATGGCCATGATGCCGCTTATGAAAATGGCCGCTAAAAGCAGAAGAAGAAGAATTTTGAAATAATTTTGAAATTCTGAATTGAAGCAGGTTACACTTACATGACAGTCTAAATTTCGATACATCATTGCCACACTTCTCCCGATTGTAGGCCAATTGTTTGCAGACCTTAAACGGTCCAAAATAGCCATGATCAAAATCATAGCCACCGGAGGGTGAATCGTAATAACCCCAAATGGGTATACCAATGGCGGCCGAGGCCAAGGCAAAGCAAATGAAACCCACACAAGTTACACCGGCAGCATAGAGAGCAATTTTCGATTTGGCCATGTTTCGGTGATCACCATAGTCGACCCGGGGCCAGACACAGAAGAGGAATTTTTACTTCACTGAATGTTGAGAATCCACAGTCTGGGTTTTTTGATATTGGAGAGAGATCAAATTGGGCTGCAAAGAAGGAAAAGTGGGGAATTAGAAAAGGATTGGGAATAAGTAACAAAAATGAATGCGGATAACAATCGTTCCGATACCGATATAATGTCTTCGTATAGAAAGTATTATATGGATAACGGGTTTCTAGAAAAAAATTGATCCGCATAATGTTTTTTTTTTAGAAAAAATTTTATCCGTGCGGATAATAGCTTCATATACGAAATGTTATCCGGATAATGGTTTCGAAGGAAAAATGTTATCCGGATAACGGTTTCGTTAAGAAAATATTATCCAGATAACGCTTTCGTATAGAAATGATATCCGGATAATGGAAAATGTTGTCCGGAGAACGGTTTCGAATAAAAATTATTATCTGGATAATGTATTCGTATAGAAAACTTTATCCAGATAATGTTTTCGTATATAAAATTTTATCCGGATAATGTTTTTGTATATAAAATTTTATCCGAATAATGTTTTCGAATACAAAATTTTATCCGAATAATATTTTCGAATAGAAAATGTTATCCGAATAATGATTTCGTATAGAAATGTCATCCAGATAAGGGTTTCATATATAGAAAATATTATCTGGATAATGGCTCCATATAAAAACTTTTATCCGGATATTGGCTTCGCGTAGAAATTGTTATCCGGATAACGGTTTCGTACCGAAAATGTTATCCCGATAACGGTTTCGTATAGAAAAAGTTATCCGGATAATGGTTTCGTATAGAAAATATTATCCGGATAACGGTTTCGTATAGAAAATGTTATCCGGATAACAGTTTCGTATAGAAAATGTTATCCGGATAACGGTTTCGTATAGAAAATGTTATCCGGATAATGTTTTCGTATAGAAAATTTTATCTTGATAATGTTTTCGTTTAGAAAACTTTGTTATATGTTATGTTTTCGAATAGCAAATTTTATCCGTATAATGTTTTCGTATAGAAAATGTTATCCGGAAAATGGTTTCGTATAGAAAATATTATCCGGATAAGGGTTTCTATCGGAAATATTATCCAGATAAGGGTTTCGTATCGAAAATGCTATCCGGATAAGGGTTTCGTACAGAAAATTTTATCCGGATAACGGTTTCGTAAAGAAAACTTTATCCGGATAATGGTTTCGTATAGAATTTGTTATCCGGATAATGTTTTCGTGAAAATATATTATCCGGATAACGATTTCGTAGAAAAAATATTATCCGGATAACGGTTTCGTATAGAAAATGTTATCCGGATAACGGTTTCGTCTATAAAATGTTATCCGGATAACGGTTTCGTCTATAAAATGTTATCCGGATAACGGTTTCGTCTAGAAAATGTTATCCGGATAACGGTTTCGTCTAGAAAATGTTATCCGGATAACGGTTTCGTCTAGAAAATGTTATCCGGATAAGGGTTTCGTCTAGAAAATGTTATCCGGATAATGATATCGTATAGAAAATTTTATCCGGATAATGTCTTCGTATAGAAAATTTTATCCGGATAACGGTTTCGTAAAGAAAACTTTATCCGGATAACGGTTTCCTATAGAAAATTTTATCCGGATAATGGTTTCGTATAGAAAATGTTATCCGGATAGCGGTTTCGTATAGAAAATGCTATCCGGATAAGGGTTAAGTATAGAAAATATTATCAGGATAATGATATCGTATAGAAATTTTTATCCGGATAATGTTTTGTACAGAAAATGTTATCCGGATAATGTTTTCGTATAGAAAATGTTATCCGGATAATATTTACGTATATAAAATTTTATCCGGATAATGTTTACTAATTGAAAAACTTATCCTTTTAATAATTTCTTAAAGCAGACATAGTTACTTTACATTGTTGTGACCCCGATATAATGTTTGTTTATCCTCCTCACCCCTCTCGCAAAACATCTCATATTTCATTCCTTTCTCTCGGGAAGACATTTCCCCACCTCCCCATTTGACATTTCTTTATTACAATATTTTCCATAATGACATTATTCTCATCGATGAAATCTAATCTATTCGCCCGCTGGAAAATGCATTGTTTTAGTTTTCTTGTTTTTTTATTGTTCCTGTTGTCATTTTCCATTCATAATCAAACTCTTTAACATATCAATCGAACTGTAGTCGGTTTTGTGGCTTACTTTGCGACAACGACGACGACCATTCATTTTCTGGTGGAAATTCTGTTTTTTTTTTTTTCACTGTCACGATTTTTACCCAGAAACGAAGAAAACTACAACAACAAGAACAACAACTACAACATGAATTGATTGCCACCAACCGGCATCCAACAAAAAAAAACAAAAATAACAACCAACATAAATTTGTCCAACAAAAGTGTTATGTGGGAGCTTTGGGCCACAATGTTTGATATGGCCCACAAAATAAAAAAAACAGAAGATACCGCCGAAGCCGAAACCGCTAGGCGGCAGAGCGGCTAGGTGAGGGTGGTGGGCCGGATTACAACTACAAGTGGTAGAATGAACAGACAAACAATGGCACGGCATGAGGTTAAGGAAACAAGCTAAAGGAAAATGTTAATAAAAACGTGAGCTAAAGGTGGCACCAAAGAAATGTTATTAAAATGGCCCAGTTACATGACAGGGGCTAAAGACTTAAAGCGGGAAAGGAAGTCCAAGTGAAAAGAATTTCGAAGAATTTTCGGCGATAAAAATAGAAATGTTATATGGGGAAATATTGTCCAAATTGTTTTTATTGAGGGAAGAAGAGTTCTTCTACTTTCGGAATTGTTTTAATCGACAAAATTTGGCGCCTAAAATTTCCCCCTGAATATTTTTTTTCTAATCTAAAGGAAAAAATCGAAATTTAGTTGAGTTTTAAATATTAAAAAATTGATTTTTTTTAGAAAAAGTTTATCCGGATTTGGAAACAGCTAGATTTTTGCTAGGAAATGTTATTCGGATAACGGGTTCGTATAGGAAATGTTATCCGGATAACGGTTTCGTATAGAAAATGTTATCCGGATAACGGTATCGTACAGAACATGTTATCAGGATAACGGTTTCGTGTAGAAAACTTTATCCGGATAACGGTTTCGAAAAGAAAATGTTATCCGGATAACGGTTTCGTGTAGAAAACTTTATCCGGATAACGGTTTCGAAAAGAAAATGTTATCCGGATAACGGTTTCGTATAGAAGCTGTTATCCGGATAATGTTTTCGTATAGAAAATTTTATCCGGATAATCTTTGCGTATAGAAAATTTTATCCGGATAATGGTTTCGTATAGAAAGTTTTATCCGGATAATGGATTCGAATGGGAAATGTTATCCGGATAACGGATTCGCATAGAAAAGGTTATTCAGGTAATGGTTTCGTCTAAAAGATTTTATCCGGATAACGGATATGTAATATTTACTATAGAAAAATTTTATCCGGATAAGATTTTCCATAAAAAAATTTTATCCGGATAAGATTTTCTATAGAAAAATTTTATCCGGATAAGATTTTCTATGGAAAAAATTTTATCCGGATAAGATTTTCTATGGAAAAAATTTTATCCGGATAAGATTTTCTATGGAAAAAATTTTATCCGGATAAGATTTTCTATGGAAAAAATTTTATTCGGATAAGATTTTCTATGGAAAAAATTTTATCCGGATAAGATTTTCTATGGAAAAAATTTTATCCGGATAAGATTTTCTATGGAAAAAATTTTATCCGGATAAGATTTTCTATAGAAAAAATTTATCCGGGTAAGATTTTCTATAGAAAAAAAATTATCCGTTTTAGATTTTCTATAGAAAAATGTTATCAGGATAAGATTTTCTATAGAAAAAATTATCCGGACAAGATTTTCTATTAAAAATTTTATCCGGATAAGATTTTCTACAGAAAAAAATTTATCCGGATAATATTTTCTATAGAAAAATTTTATCCGGATAAGATTTTCTATAGAAAAATTTTTAAGATAAGATTTTCTATAGAAAAGTTTTATCCGGATAAGATTATTGAAAAAGATTTTCTATAGAAAAATTTTACCCGGATAAGATTTTCTATAGAAAAGTTTTATCCGTATGAGAAATTCGATAGAAAAATTTTATACGGATAAGATTTTCTATAGAAAAATTTTATCCGGTTAGGAATTTCTATAGAAGAATTTTATCCGGATAAGATTTTCTATAGAAAAAAATTTATCCGGATAAGATTTTCTATAGAAAAAAATTTATCCGGATAAGATTTTCTATAGAAAAAAATTTATCCGGATAAGATTTTCTATAGAAAAAAATTTATCCGGATAAGATTTTCTATAGAAAAAAATTTATCCGGATAAGATTTTCTATAGAAAAAAATTTATCCAGATAAGATTTTCTATAGAAAAAAATTTATCCGGATTAGATTTTCTATAGAAAAACATTTATCCGGATAAGATTTTCTATAGAAAAAAATTTATCCGGATAAGATTTTCTATAGAAAAAAATTTATCCGGATAAGATTTTCTATAGAAAAAAAATTATCCGGATAAGATTTTCTATAGAAAAAAAATTATCCGGATAAGATTTTCTATAGAAAAAAATTTATCCGGATAAGATTTTCTATAGAAAAAAATTTATCCGGATAAGATTTTCTATAGAAAAAAATTTATCCGGATAAGATTTTCTATAGAAAAAAATTTATCCGGATAAGATTTTCTATAGAAAAAAATTTATCCGGATAAGATTTTCTATAGAAAAAAATTTATCCGGATAAGATTTTCTATAGAAAAAAATTTATCCGGATAAGATTTTCTATAGAAAAAAATTTATCCGGATAAGATTTTCTATAGAAAAAAATTTATCCGGATAAGATTTTCTATAGAAAAAATTTATCCGGATAAGATTTTCTATAGAAAAAAATTTATCCGGATAAGATTTTCTATAGAAAAAAAAAATTCGGATAAGATTTTCTATAGAAAAAAATTTATCCGGATAAGATTTTCTATAGAAAAAAATGTATCCGGATTTCTATAGAAAAATTTTATCCAAATGAAAATTTCTATAGAAAAATTTTATCCGGATAAAAATTTC